AAGAGGGAGTGCTCCTCGACCCAGAGCTTTCATTGGAAGCTCAGGTGACAGCAGTGGCGAGGAGCACTTTCCTTCAGCTTCGGCTGATCCATCAGCTGCGCCCCTACCTGGAGTACGACTGCCTGGCGACAGTGACACACGCGTTGGTGACTTCCCGTCTTGACTTCTGTAATGCGCTCTACATGGGGCTACCCTTGAAGACGGTCTGGATACTTCAATTGGTTCAAAATAGATCTGCCAGGCTGCTGACGGGGACTGGGCATTATGTTCACATGACTCCAGTTCTCCGTCAGCTTCACTGGCTTCCCATTGAAGTCTGGGCCCAATTCAAGGTGTTGGTGATGGGTCCTGGCTACCTGAAGGAGCGCTTATATCCATATATGCCTGCTCACCCCCTGAGATCTGCGGGAGAGGCCGTTCTCTGGGAACCCTCCGTGAAGGAAATTAGGAGGGTAGGTACTCGGAGGAGGGCTTTCTCTGCGGTGGCGCCCAATCTATGGAATGCGCTCCCCAGAGAGGTCCGCCTGGCGCCGTCGTTATTTGTTTTTCGGCGCCAGGTGAAGACCTTTTTATTTAAACGTCATTTTAATTGTTAACAATATTTGCTTATTTATCTGGCCAGGGTGACTTCTTTTATATTGTAAATTCGTTTTATATTTTTAATGTATTATATGTTAATGTTTTGTGAGCCGCCCCAAGGCTTCGGCGGATGGGGTGGCATAGCAATTTTCTAAATAAATAAATAATTCAGATATCCTCCAAGTAGTACCCTCCAGATGTGTGGGACTACTACTCCCAGCATTCCTGAGCACTGGCCATGCTATCTTGGCTAATGGCCACTGGAATCCAAAACATCTGGAAAACATCAGGTTGGGCAAGGCTGCATCTATTCAGCCTGAAAAGCCGAATAGATTTGGTGGCCCCCATACTTGTAAGCACGAACCCCAATAGACCAACACTAAGCCAGGTGTTGTCCTTGCTGGGACTTGAGCTAGCTCCAGGGAGAAAAAAGTAGAAGGAGAGACACGGTTGCTTCCTGTCTGGCCCTGGTGCCTGTGCTGATGTCCTTCTCTTTCTCACGCCTGGTCTGAAAAGGTGCCCAAAAATACAGATCAAGACGATACCTTGGAAAACACCTGGACTTCCTCCAGTGCCTTGGAAAGAAGGAATGAGCTGCCTCCTGAGGATAATTTCGAAGATTTACAATATTTCCCTAACTTTTATGAACTGCTGAAAAGCCTTAACTCAGGTGAGACTCAGAGCCAGCTACCTAGACATGTCGAGACAAACTAGTCCCACAAATTCCAGCCTATCCCCATGATCGCTGAAGAAAGCTGGAAGTTGTGAGACTCTTTCCTATCTAAACCTGAAGAGGAGTGCATGGAAATTCCAAGTTTCCAATCATGGGCCTTGACCTTGGGCTCGGACGTCACTGTCCTCACCACTCAGGACCATGGACAGCCGCCTCATGCGGGCAAGTTTGCTCACCGGTCTTCGCAGGCGAAAGTGGGCTCTGCCCCCACTGCACCACCGTTTGCGCCTCTCCCTTAGAGGAGGAAGGGGGGCAAGCATCAGGGCACCCATTCTGTCCTTGTGCTGCAAGCGCAGGTAAAGAAGTCAGCCCCTCTTCCTTTCGAACGAGGAAGCATGTGGACAGTGGCAAGCCCGAGTGAGCTGAGGGAAAGGAACCTCGTGTCAGTGCAGCTTGCCTGTGTGGCGTAGTGGTGAAGAGCATGGGGCTGGGACTCAGACAATCTGGGTTCTAGTCCCCACTCGACCATGGAGCCAACTGGATGGCTTTGGGCCAGTCATAGACTCTCAGCCCAACCTAACCTCACAGGGTTGTTGTTGTGGGGATAAGATGGAGGAGGAGAAGGATGTCAGCTGCCTTGAGCCCTTTGTAGGAAAAGGTAGGATATAAATCAATCAATCAATCAATCAATCAATAAGACAGGGTCTCCTCTTCACTCCTATGCCTCCACCCCACTGTCCCTCCGGTCCCTAGCCTGCCCCCCTCCCCTTGCTTAGCTGGGTCTGTCAGCCCCTGCCGAGCCAGGATGCCGAAAGGGATGCTGATGGCAAAGGGAGCAGCAGCTGCCATGTGGGGAAATCGCAAGCAGTGTCCTTTGGGGAAATGTATCCTTCTGCCAAAAAGGCCCAAAACTCAACAGCTCCCAAGCTGCGCCAGGTCGCCTGCCGATGCCGAGGGGCCGTTTCCGCCTCCCTCACTTCAGTGAGAGGGTCTCGTTTCACGGCCTGCCCCTCAGCCATCTTGTACACAGGGGGCTCCCTGCATCACCGTTGCTGCTGTGCTAAGCAAAATTCACCCTGCTGCTGCAGATTTGTGTGGGTGGACATGTGCGTGTGCATGAAAAGCAACAACAGAGTACTTTAAAATATATTTAGTGCTAAATACATTCGCTTCTGCTGTCTTCAGTAGCTGTGATCTTAAATGGATCTCAAGAGTGACACTTTTGAAGGCTGAGTGATGAAAAGCCGTAAAAGAAGGAAAAATAGAGGTTGAGTGATAGAAGCTTATGAATTGACTAAGAGGAACGAAGAGTTCCAAATTATGGAATGATCTTTCTAATGAGGCCGGTGTTGTCGTCTTTGTGGTGAAAGGTTAAGGTTGCCCTCTGTTCACAGGCATTTCATGGTATTTAATAGTATGTGATGCACTGTGTTATAGTGTCTAGAGTACCAGACTGGGGACCTGGGAAATCTGGATTCTAGTCCCTATTTGGCCATGAAGCTCCCTGGGTGACTTTGGGCCAGTCCCAGACTCTCAGGCTAACCCACCTCACAGGGTTATTGTGAGAATAAAAATGGGAAGGAGGAAGATTTGGTAAACTACCTTGAATTCTTCGCAGGAAAAAAGTGGGTTATAGATCTAAGAAACCAAGAATTAGTGGGGGATTTGTGTCAATTAATTGACTAATTATACATGTCTAGTATTTCTATTGAAATGGTTTGTTGCTGTTTCAACTGTTCTAAATATGGTCAAAGAGAGAGAGAAAGAACAAAGATTTAAAAAATGGAAAGGTGTCCCATCCTGCAGGCTGTCGCTAAATGCAGAGCAGCATCTTTCTGACAGTTCCTAACCAGTTCTCTTTTTGTCAATGCAGAGAAAGAAGCTAAGGAAAAAGAAACCCTGATAACAATCATGAAGACTTTAATAGACTTCGTGAAGATGATGGTCAAATATGGAACTATCACGCCTGAAGAAGGTGTTTCCTACTTAGGTAAGAGCACACTTACAACTTCTGGTAATGATGCTCCTTCTTTTGTGGCCTGGTGTTCACCTGGCCATTGGCTCATTGTTCCTTCCGGGCAGTGAATATTTTGGTAGCAAATTATTTTTATCATTACTGAAGTGCAGAATATCGGTGGCCTTGATAGGAAGCAGTTTCAGTCTGAGTAAGAATACAGAACCCGAACAGATGTCCACAACACATGAATGCAGAGCCAGCCATCGTATTCCTGTAACAATGGAGCTTTTCCCAAAAGCAAGATTTCTGATAGAAAATTTGCATTTCAGATGTACTTGCTCAGCTACAGAATGAATCTCTGGTTATGAATCTCTTGAAGCTAGTCATTACCAATCCCTTTCCAATCAGTTGAGCTTTACAAACCAACAGCTGTAATCCAACTGGGAACAGACAAAATATGTGGACCACAAGTAGACATGCAGAGAATATTTTACTGGAATTATCATTAGGTAATGATGCTGGGTAATGTTGGAATAATTTGGATCAGGAGCATAGGATGGGGGGAAGGTGGTTATGAATATGTATTGTACTTTTATCTCTCTCATTCCCCGGGGATAGATTTCTTGCGCATTGAGTGAAAAGATACGTTGCCAGTTATATGGTAGGGATAAATACATTGAAGGTCTCAAAATGGGTAAGATACATATATATTATACAAAAGGGGGTTTGGTGTGTTACAGATTATCTGTTTTTAAACTGAGTCTATTGCTTCTTTGGGTTGACCAATATTCTTTAGTAAATAAATTTGGCTGGCTGGCTGGCTGAGTAGCGAAGGCTACGAATGCAAATGCAGACTGAACAATTAAACTGTTGGGAAAGCGCATCTGCTGTAATTATCATGGTTATTGTTGTTTTTAGTATTGTTATTGGGCTTGATTAGTTTGGCTTTCCTCTCTTGTCCTGGTTTTAAAGGCCTTGATGTTTCCATTGTTATATTTGAATTTCCTGTTTGCAACAACAGAAGTATGTGTGTTTTTGTGTGGAGGGAGGGAGGGAGGGAGGACCAGTGTGATGCTGAAGTGGAATAATAAATAATGACAAGTATAGAAGGAATCTTGTGATATAAAGTAAGTATAAATATAGGACTGGCCCAGGATAGTTATCTGCCTGAAGCAAAAGATAAGTGCCCCTTCCCATTTAAGGTATAAAAGACAACTGAACTGCCTCAGGCATTCAGGGCTTTCCCTGCAGAAACAGCTCACAGAAGAGCCTGGGGTGCCCCTGGCAGCTGTGCTCGTCCCCAGTTCCCATTTCCAGGCTGGCTGGGAAGTTTGGGAAGCGCAGCTACCACATCTGATGGTTGGGAAAAGCTACCACCAGAGAAGCCTGGCCTGCTTCGGGCCAAAGGTCCCCCAGCCCGGTCTGCTGCATCCTGCACCAGATGGCCAGATGTTTCAGGGAAGCTCATGAGCAGTGGGTGAAGGGGACGCTCCGCCTCCTCCTGTTCTTGGCCCCCCAGCACCTGGCTTTCAGCAATCCAGGTGCAGGGAGTGTCCACTGTGCAAGACAGCAGCATCTCCATTCTGTCCCACAGCCTGGCTTCCAGACCTCCACTCAAATGTCACTCAGGTTTCTCTGCCCACCAAGCATACATATTGCACTGTCTTTTCTGGGAGGAGGTGGAAGGGTCTTCACCTCGGGGGCTCTTTTCCCTCCTACAGATTTATTTCATTGCTTGCAGTACTCCAGCAGCTTGATCCCTCTCGGAGAATGGCCAGCATAGGTAGCTGATTCCAGCATCAGCTCTGTGGTCTCTGTAGGAAAATGAAGAGAGGATGTTGGCCAGGACCCAAGGATACACTGCAGAGTGTCTATCTTTTCCCTCCACCCAAGCTCGCTCCTTTCATGCTGCCAGGTACACAGGCCACTTGCAAAACCTGTGGGCTTTGAAAGTGATTGGAGATGCAGCCTGAGGGAGGAATGCTACTCTGGGGAGGGGGGACACAGGGAATTCTGACAGAATGCATGCAAGCATTCCCACACATTTCAATTGGAATGTTTGATTGTGCAGAAGGCCCTTCATGTCAGCCATATTGGAATGAAACATGGAAACACAGAAACAGAGCAAATCAGAAGGGGTCTCCCAGGCCAACTGGTCTTAACCCCAGCTCCAGGCAGCTCCACTCATGACATGCCCACCATGTGCATGTCTAGCCTGTCCTTGAACACCCGCACCGATGTGGCTTCAACCACCTCCTGTGGAAACCCATTCCATTCCCAGTGAATATCTGAACAACATTGGAGATGCAGGTGATAGTTCAGAAAGGAGAAGGAGCAGGATGTGCTACTGGAAGAACTCCTGCAAAGCAGCAAAATGTGCAAGGGTTTGGCAAGCTTAGATGGGAGGAAGTGTGGTTGAAATCAGTGGGACGTAACCCCGAAAAGACCTGGATGGGATGGAGCAGTTTTGTCTGGATGAAGAACTGTTGGCAGCTTTTGCCACGTGCATTTCTCAGCAGTGTAGTTGCTTTGGCATTTGTTTTACTTCTGAGAACGTCCCTCATTTTGTCAGGTATAGTAGGAGTGAGCCAACCAGGGCTCACATCAACAACACCATGTAGCCAATCAGTTTGGCCCTACACAATGATGTCATGAAGCCAAAGCAGAGTGAGGGTAATATTTCCTGCACTGACTTGGCATGTGCAGACCCTCCCCTGCTCCTGCTTCACAAAAGGGGAGGACCTGCATTCCAAAGGGGCAATTAGCTTCATTACATTCACACATTTATCTTGGCTTTGCCTCAATTACTGTGCTGTAATGGTGGCTGAACTTGGGAAATGAATCCACTAAGAAGCATGATGGTGGAGGCCATGGGAGCGTTACATCCATGCTGCAAGAACTGTGGTGCAGTGGTCCTGTTATGGGCAGACTTCAGGACTGAGGGCTGGGTTCCCCAGGTGACCACCAGAGTGAACTGCACAGGCTGGGGGAGAGCAACCCTGCCTCAGCACTGATGCCACGTGTCACAACATCCCTCTCTTCCTTTTATACCTTAAGACAGCAGTCCAGGCATACTGCCAAAGTCCCAAATGCACAACCCTGCACAGCCTTCAGCAGAAAACGGCCCTACAACTCCCAGCATGCCCCAGTCAGGGAAAGTGGCATGAAAAGGGGGAGAGAACAACCAGGGCAGTTCAGGACGGGGAGCTGGCAGGGAGATCCCAAAGGTAACATAACCATCTTCCCCTCGGGCTTCATAGTGAGGGCTATGATGGTCCATTCACACATATACATCAACCCCGGATAGTTGCAAGTTGCAAGTGATTGACGTTCATGCACGGACTGGCCACATCCAGCCCTAGCATCAGGCAGAGGGAGGCAGCTGGTACTGAAGGTCATGGAGTGATTATGGAGGAGAGCCTTCCAGGGATCCGCTAAGCTACCCAGCTGCCACCAGGTGCAGCGGCAAATGCCGCCCATTGCTGATGCCAAGATAAGTGTCAACTTCCACCAAGCCAGTTTTTGCAACCACGCTTTTGGGTGTGCTCTCTTGCCCTTCAGGAAGTGCAGCAAAATGTTGGAAGCAGCCCCAAGAAAAGTGTATCCCCGGCCCTGACTTGCCAGCCTGTGCTGCTCATTGGGACCACATCCCTTCATCGAGTCAGCCAGCCGTAGGGAAACGTACACTCCGAAAGGCTTGGCGTTGCCTCCGTGCTGTCCTATTTTTAGCATCACCGTTCAGAAAGGACGCTGTCTGCTGACCTTCAGAATACTGATCTGATATTCTCAAGAGTCTTAAGAAAGCATGAGATTATTTGCTTAATATAGCAGCAATGAAAAGAAAGCAAGTCGCTTTGTCGTCAGAGTTGCTATGATTTGCAGAAAGGTTTGATGTGTGCGGCTGCTGTTCCGACTGCTCCTGGGCAGAGGACACAGCAGCTGCTGGCAGGTAGAAGGGAACCCCACACAATGCTTGAGAGGAGAAAGAAAAAGGACAATTGCTGGAGCATGAAACCAGATACAGACAAGCAGGCAGGCCGGCAGACTGAGAAACTGGCCAAAATTCAGCTCACTGCAGGATTCTGAGCGAGGGAAATCACACAGTATCTGCTGCCAAAAGCCTTCCCTTCCATCTGCTGTCCTGCTTCATCTGGGCTTCCATCGTCACCACAGACAATGGTGCAGAAGAGAAGAAACCATGTAATCTGCCCCTAGTCCCACCTCTGTGGCTTGCGTTCATTTCAGGACCATGGACAGCGTGGCCCTGGAGCAATCGCCTTGCACGGACGGGTGCAAGAGATTTCAACTGGATCCAGATTATAGGATAACCCATGTGCTGTTGCTGAATTGTGGGTGGTTGTTGCACCATGGCTTATCATGTTGTCTGAACCCAGCTGCACTGGCAAGCCACGGCTTGTTAGCTACAAAGAACCCAAGAAGAGAACTCAGCCTGTTTGACCAGCCTCAAACTGGGCCAGCATGGGTGTGCCAGTGGCATGCAAGTCCTTACGTGGCTTTTGTCCTCAGAGCAATGTAACCTCGTCTGGACTGAGGGTAGTTGGCTCTTGCGTCCTCCTGGGGTACTGGGTCACGGGATGATGGAAGTCTCTGGAGCACTCTATTCTTATGCTGTCTAGTGCTTTCTGCTGCCATCTTTGTCATTTCCACCAAACAGTGCACCTCTGTTATGTAAAGTTTTCTCACGCACAAGCTACCACCACCGTAGTCCCAAGGTTAGGTTATGCAAGGTCAGCCTCTGCCCTTAATTAATTCAGTTTGGTGAAATATTTAGGGTTCCGCTGATCCCAGGCTGGGCTTCCACGCAGCTGCCTCTTTCAGGAGCAGTTTCCTGACAACTCCTGAGACATGTGTCTGTTCGGCTTCCTTCTAGGATGTACCCAGACCATCTCCCATCTCTATTTATTATCTGGGAGAAATGGCCATGCATTTATGTTTCATGTTCCCAGTCCTCCCGGCTCCTGAAATAATACTTAAGAAACCTGGTATTTGTTGTTGTTGCTGCCGCCATTGTT